TTCTAGATGAATTAGCAAAATCTCAGAGAAAAGTAGATTTCTCTTTTTAAATCAAATCAAAAAATGGCAATAAAATTTTTTTAGTTTTAATATATAATCAATTTTGTAAAAAAAGTATTATTTATAAGATAATATCATTATATTTTTTTAAATACCATTATTTGCATAATACATTATAATTTTTAATATTAAAATCTGTATTATATAAAATATCAACATTTTGAAAATATTTTAATTAATAAAAATATATACATGATTAAATAAAGGAATGTAAAATATATAATAAAATACCCTAAAATTTTGTTATATAAAAATATAAAACAATTTTAACAAATCCAAAAATATAAGTAATTAAATGTTCAAAAAATGGGAGGTTTGGGGGGCGAGCCCCCCCCCCAAAAAAAAAATCCCGCTTACCCCCCCCATGATAAAATCCTGGCTACGCCACTGATGCGATCAGTAATTAATTGTTCAAAATGTTTGAAATTTTATTTTATATTTGTCAAGGGTTCAAAGTTGCTTGCAGTATCAATTTTAATGTGTGGTGAAAACATAATTAAATTAATTTTATATATAAAAATCAGAGACCAGCAGGTCTGGCCCTTAGCCCGGTCTGGGTACACGGGCCGGGTTGTATTTTAATTTTTTAAATAGACCTGGACCGGGCCTGAAAATTTATTTTTCAAAAAATATCCGGGCAGGGCCTTATATTTTAAAACCAAATATTTGAAATCACCAAAAAATTTTCAAACGAAACCACTTGATACTTATCTCAGGTAGCATCTGTAATTATATCCAGACATAGCTTTCAGTTGGAGAAAGAGATTTACGGTATATGAAATTCGAAGTAATCAAAGAAGCTATAGCCATAAATCAATGACAGCCAAGCTTGACGCTACGGTGAACAGAAAAATCATAAACAAAAATCTCACAATCCCACCCCTAAACTGCCAATCCAGAAACCGATAAGAATAATAGTGCTACCAATAAACCCATCACAGAAGGTATGAAATATCTATTGTTAGAATCTTAAACCTTCATTATAATACCAGAAAAAGACAAATTCTGGTTAATAATGATTGCAAGTCATTTAGCTAACGCCATTCAAATGCCCCCTCAATATGTCAATATGTTGAAACCTTCACATTTTTGGTACTAAAATTTGCTATTTAGGTGAGAAGTATTTAACTACTCCCTCAATTTTCTCCAAACTACGGCAGCCCTACGCCCCCTCAGACCTATACGATGTATGTAATTTGGGTTTGGAATTGTTTAAAATTGAGAACTTGTAATTTTATGCCAGGTCCGGCCCGAAAAATTTGCGGGCAAGTTGGGTTTTAAGATTTCTAATTCATATTTCCTTAAAACAATTCTATATCGAGAATCATTATATAAATTTATTACGGTTATAAAAAAAATTAAAAGCTCTTTCATTGAATCTATCTTTCAGCCTATTTAATTTTTTTTTTGGAAATATTTTTTATAAACAATATGGTCTGTTTTAAAAATAAAGGAGACACTAATAGCAATTATCGCGTTACTCCTTTTCCTTCTATTGTTTTCGATAGTGTTCGATATATCGCCTTCGCAATTTGGGTTTCAGGTAAACTTCCTATAAATTTTTGCGATTATTAATTAACAAAGTTTAGATATCATATTATCCCTCAAAGAAGCACACGGTAAGAGTTTGGATATAAAAAAAATATATATTTAATCCTTGTCTTCGAGGAACAGTATTCGAGAATGCGTCTAATTATAAAGTTAAAAAAAACACAATCTTGATCCCCACCACCCTTAAGCCTAGATTGATTATGATTACTGCAGTTTTTAAAGATATTTTAATTCTTTCACCCATTTTTCCGTTATAAAGAGCTTATTTAAAAAAATTCTAAATAAATTCGAGCCGAGTGGACAAATAATTTTTTATCAGGTCGGGCTTTTATGAACAAATAAAAAATTCCGCTCGGAATCCGGCCGGGACAAACCTTTTTTAAAAAATTCGGGCCGGACTTGACAAATTAAGCCCGATGCAGATTTTTATAGTCAAAACAATAGATTCTTTATTATAAAATTGTTTCCTATATATAGTCTTTTATAATTATGTCATTTAACTTCTACTAATATGCAATTACATTGACCTCCATAAGATAATATAAAATGTACGAAATATATAATTCAAATAGCATAACCTTTTTAAAATATAATAAACATTCAAATATAACATATCTTCTTTCCCACCAAGTTAAGATCGTCTATCAATCTTTTTATTACCAAGTTCAAGTTCATCTATTAATCTCTTTGTTGGCTTTCGTTCCCTTGTTGGATAACGTGGTTGCCATCCTTGTTGACTTGGTTCAAATGGTATTATTGATTTGACTTGTTTTATATTCTTAATATGTTCAGTATCATTTTTTCCTGTGATTATAACATCATCTAAATAAACTGCTGTATCTTTACAATCAGCCAGTAAATCGTCCATATATCGTTGAAATATTATTGGTGCTGTAGCTATACCAAAAGGTAATCGTAAATAGCGGTAATATCCATTTGGTGTTACCATTGTTAATAATTCTTGTGATTCATCGTCAATGCTCATTTGTAGGTATGCATCTTTTAGATCTAATGTTGTATATTTATTTCCATTCGCTATTTTTGCTATTAATTCTTCAAACGTTGGTAGAATCTGATAATCTTTTAGTAGAAATTTATTTAACGTTACTTTAAAATCTCCACATAATCGTAGTTCGCCTGAAGTTTTACGTACCACTACCATTGGAGTACTCCAGGTTACTCTTGTTGTTGATGGATCTATTTTCTTGATTATATTATTTTCTTCCAAACGTTTCAGTTCATTTTCAATTTCTACTTTTAAAGGCAACGGTACTCTTCTAGCTGGCAGTGCAATTGGTTTTGTATTTTCTTCCAATTGTAGTTTTACTGGTTCGACATTTTTTATTAATCCTAATTTATTATCAAACACCGTAGCAAATTCTGTATATAGTTTGTCAATATTTACGTTACCATTATCATTGTATTTATATCTATTGTTGATCATATTGATTAGAGAAGCCACCAACAGAGTTAAACCCTACTACATTTTTTGGTAACGATAAGTCAAATTCGATAATCCATGGAAATCCAAATAGAGCTGCATCATTTGTTTGTGTGACCAATAGTGGAAGCCATTTTATGTCATTATTCAATTGTACTTTTACATCAGCTTCACCCATAATTTTTATTCTATTATTTCCATATGTAGTTGGTGCTTTAGCTCTTCTAAGTTTTGGCCTTCCGATTTTATTCCATATTATTTCATTAATAATGGTTACTGCCGAGCCAGTATCATATTCCATTTTAATTTTCTGGTTGTTTATTAATACCTCAATTGTTGGATGTTGCCCATATTTGTATATTTTTCTTATTGAGACATCTGAATCGTCTTCTTTATTATTGTAATTTGTTCCGTAAATCTTTTCTTTAGCTTTACAACATACGGCAAAGTGGTTTGGTTTCCTACATTTGCTGCACAATTTTCCGTAGGCGGGACAATTTCTTATAGCGTGAAACCGATTACAGAAATAGCATGGTTTTCTCCAATTACTATTATTATTTGTATGGTAGTTATTATACCCGGGTACTAGTTCTCTTTTTACATATGCTTTATTATCATTTTGATAGTGCGTTTATCATTATTATTATACTGCCGATTATTTTTATTATGTTGTTTATCCGATTATCATTATCATGTTTATTCGGCTCTTTTATTTTATATACCATTTTAGCAGTATTATTTATTTCTAAGTCGGCTCGTTCCATCGCTAAAGCCAATTCTACCACTTTGTTTAAGCTTAACGGTTGGTCTTCGTCTTTAGTATCTGGATATCTTAATCGTAGTTCTTTATCCAGTTGTGACATCTTTAGTCCGGCGATTAATTGATCTCGAATTCTCAATTCTACATTGTCTTCAAATTCGCATCTTCGGGCTAGCTCCTTTATATTTTTCAAATAGCTCATTACGGATTCAGTAGCCCCGCGACTTAATCTAATGAAATCTATTCTTGATGCCAAAATAGTTCTTTCATCTTTATATAGTTGTTTTGCTATTTATATGTCAATCCATCCTACCTCCTCTATATTCCTAGGATAGAGTAATTTTTGATATCAGATATAATGTTTATTCCTCCATAAGCTATAAATAATTTTTTTAAAGTGGCGTCAGTTTGAGGAATATTTTTCACATTTAGTATATATTTGATATAATCAACGTAGTCCTCGATAGAACAATCCTCCTTTTTAAAGTCCTGGAGAATAATTTTATCCATAATTTCTAAATATTTATAAAAAAATTTTTTTATAAACAGCAAAAAAAATTATAATTCTATATATTATTAAACTTGACCGAAGACCGAAAACCGCGCGACTTAGATTTTTTTTTATTTCGTCGCCAGTTTTTTATAGTCAAAACTAGTGTTGTTAAACGGCTCGTTTTGAGCCGATTTTTAAAAACGGCTAATTCAATATTTCATCTAGAATAATATTACTCACGCCTGAAAATTTTGTTTGTAGAAGGAACAAAGGTTTGGACATCTATTAGCGAAATCTCGAGGCTTAGGCAATATTTTTCTGGCTAAAATATTGAGTTAGCCGTTTTTAAAAATCGGCTCAAAACGAGCCGTTTAACAACACTAGTCAAAACAATAGATTCTTTATTATAAAATTGTTTCCTATATATAGTCTATTATAATTATGTCATTTAACTTCTACTAATATGCAATTACATTGACCTCCATAAGATAATATAAAATGTACGAAATATATATTTCAAATAGCATAACCTTTTTAAAATATAATAAACATTCAAATATAACACAGATCACTAATAGCTTAGATATACAGGAATTTTTTTTACAAAATCTTAGAAAAGTTATATATCTCAAATTTTTTATTGCATCATAATAAGAATTTTTATTATTTATAGAATCTCAGTTTATATACAATTAATTTATAATAATTTAGTTAACAATAATATGAAATAAATATAATAAAAAATGGTTGAGTTTTTCAATTCATATGATTTGATAAAATAAATAAATTTATAAATTGCTATTCTCTCATATATTATATAATAAATTTTGTGCGTTAAATCGGCCATATAATGTATCAAAACAAAGAAAACATGTATCGTTGAAGATATTTTATAAAACATTTATAAGGCGCATAAGATATAATATTAAACTAATATAAATGTTAGCTAGACTCATTCTCATTTAATTACATTAACAAAAAGGTTTAAAAATGTTTTCGAGTCGTCATTGAAACATGCCTTCCTCGTCGTAAATTTCGTGAACTTCCGCAAGATGACGCAAAAAGATTTCCCTTTGTTTGCGACCGAACCTTAAATGGACGACAATAAACATAATATTTTTGGTTATTTGCCTTTTTGTAAAAAAATTATTATTGGGGGATAAAATCGATATTCAAAAGAGTTAAACCGGGGGTTTAATTAACAAAAGACAATCAATATACCTAAATTTATTAACAAAATAATTCTTAATTGTGGACAAGTACGCCAAATGTTATTATTTAAATTAATCAATTACGAATTTATTTCTATGAAAACATAATTAACGTATCAAAAAGGCATGAATACCATTACCAGTAGTATCGTATACAACTATTTAGTAATAATCAGCCATTACTTCTAATTTTTACGGATACAAAATTGTGTTAGTTTAATCATTTATTTTATTAATTTCTCATTCTATTATTAATATAGTTATTAAAAAATATTTTAGTTATCCTCATCTATTGATTAGCAACTATCCGAACACGTTAAATAGAAAGAAGTAAGATGATTGGCTCAACGCAAAGAAATATCTCTTTGCCCGATAATCTTTTTTTTACATTATATTAGTTGTTATAATAAAAATTTTAAAAAAACATATATCTCTAAATTAGAAAGAATATTTATGGCGATACAAGATACATTTATCTTATTAATCTTTCTTTATGAGTCTTGAAATAATTTTTTGGTATAGCTTTAAAACGAACCTTAATCCGCACCCCTGGCAAAGTATGTAATGAGGGGCGTTCCGTCTATTCCTACTAGTGATAGCATTATTATTCAATAACGAATCGAATTGGGAAGAGTGAGAGATGTCGGGATTTTGATTATCGACACCGTTACTGGCTTGGAAGTTGAAATCGTTTAATGTACTGTAATCGTAAGTTGCTAAAGGAGTAGAAGTGGTTGATGAATTAGTTGGGACATAGGGGTTGAAAGTGAGCGAGTTTTTGGCTTAAAAATTTGTTATGTTTGTTTGAAATTAAAAAAAATTTTAACGGTTTTTGATTCAAATTTTTCCCTAAAATTTCAAATCATTTCTGTAAAAAAAAAATTTTTTTGTGATTTTTATGCAATTAAACATGCTTCAATTGGAAAATAAATAAATATATATATATAAACATTCGTAATCAAATTTTGTATTTTAAAACTTGCAAAATATTGTAAAAAGTGAGGGATGGTAAAAGAAAAAAAAATTAAATCAATGATTTTTTTAAAAATAAATTTGATTTTAATATTTCCAACCCCAAGCCCCTTATTTTATAGAGAGATTTTAATCTAATAATAAGTGATCAATAAAATTTGCATAAGCTTTAAAAAAAAATTTCTATTATATTCAATGATAAATAAAGCTTAAAGGAGAGAGAGATAAAAGATAATTCTTGTTTTACTTATAACATAGTCCCTCCAGTAGGGTCGTTAAACAGCCCAATTAAGATTTTAACTATAATATTATGTCTCGCTGGAGATTTTGCTTCAGAAAAGTTTGGACCTCTATCTGCCAAATCTCGAGGCATACATATAAAATCTTAATCATCCGTTGTGATCAGTTTATTAAAACTAATATTTAATCAGTATAAATCAGGTGGCTTCCCAATGACAATATTACCCCCTATCCCCCTTCCCCACCCTTCTTCTATCAAAATAAAGCGATCAAAATTAGTAAAGAAGGAAATCTAAATCAAAATTACCCCACCCCTATTCTCCCCCTATTATATTCTAATGGAAAAAAATAAATTCGATTTTTTAAATTTATCAATATTTATTTTGGTAATTACGATTATTTTGGAATTTAAAGGTGCCTACCACCTTATAATTTACATCAATAACTTACGGCATTCATTTTCTTATAAAGGCAAAAATAAATTGTTGAATATCAAAGTCACTCGTTAAATATGTCAGCCAAAACTATTTTTTAAATTAGGGCAATTTTTAATTTATGATAATTATTTTACCCATTCTTTACACATAAAATTAGATACATAATGAATTATTTTTTTAAAAAAAGTACCTTAAAAGGAATATGATGATTTATATCGAAATTGAACAAATGAAAAATCTTTAAAACATATCTAATTAGCAGAAGGAAGGTCAAATTAAATAACAAACCATTCATATCTTCGTTAGAAGCTTTAATTGAATACTCCCCATTATCACTAATGTTAACGTGATTGACTATGTCGCTAGAATAGTTTAAGGTGTATAGACGGTTCCATTTGTCGGAATCCTCTTTGAGAATTTTTCTTATGACTGGATCAGTTATTCCCACTTTAATATATGGATCATCATTTTCCTCGTTTGCGTCATCATAGTCGCTATCGTCTGGTTTCTGTTTTACAGGTTTTGTGGTATCGTCTGCTTATACAATATGGCGAAATAGTAAATAACTAAACCAAATTTAGGCAACTTAAGAATATAGCGAATACCTTTTAAAATTAGGTATTAAGATCGAGATGATGGGGATATTCCTATTTATTTAATTTGGCCGCCAGAAAGGGCAAATTCTGTTTAAATTAGACAAATACGCTAAATTAATAATAAATAGGAAATCGGTTGGGATTCAGTTTATTTAAATCTATCACATTACATAGTTATACAGTTAATTTACATAAAATTGGTATTATATTTTTATACCTCCTGTGTTTCCCTTTCTAAAATGAACATTATCGCCTGCTCTTTTTTGTCTTGCATCGTCTGATTCTGGATTGAGGGATGGATTTTCGATATCGATGAGAGCTTGGGCAGCAGTGGAACGTGAAATATCTACATTAAGCTGGTTGCTTGAATTGTAAAAGACAATAATTTTAAAGTTCTGCATAAATAGGTTTAAAGGCAAATTCCTAATTTTGATTGACGTTATTGCTAACTAAAAAGTAAAAGAGCAATGGTAATGCGTCACTTAACAAAGTGCCTACAAAAATACGAAACTAATAATTCCCTATTCGTATTCGCGAATCTTAAGGAATCTAATATCCAATAAATAGATATTTATGTATAGTATCTTTAACGATCATTAATTTTACTTGGCTACATATTCGGTCGAAACTAACATTAAATTCTTTCCCCGAATATGACGGTGATCTTTATTTTTCAATGCCGACTTTCTATTCCTGATTGTCCTTTGTTTTTCCTCCAGGCTTTTGCGAGGCCGGCCTCGCTTATTATCGCTCGCGATCATTGGGTAGTCCCTTCTTTGGCTAACAAATGGATCGTTGACAAATATTGGAGTGGTGCTTAAAGGATTACAAGCGCTAAAATGGTTTCCATTCACGCGTTCGTTGCAATTTAAAGAGACCCTGGTGAATTCATTATCATGAGAATTTGAAAACGATGTTTTTGGAGTGTCAACATGGGCCATATAATCAGTTATATTATTAGTATTATTGTTATAGATAGCATCGCCGCTCTTCCCGGTAAATATAATATCGTTCGATATATTTGGATTAAATTTCGGATTCATTAGTGCTCGGACATTGAAATACGAGCAAAATCGTGGCAATCTACTCAGGAGGACAGAGCATTCATGCTTACTCGACTCATATTTTGGTTCAAATGTGAGATAAGAGTCCGCATTCAAAGTAAAATTCGATAATCCCAGCTTTTTAATCAATGCATCGTAAACCATCACGTCCATTTGAAATACGTTTAAGTTCTTACCGCCATCGATATAAGACGAGGATGCCGATTCGGTTTCTTCACCCTCTTCCATTTTTGGGTAACTTTCTTCTTTGTGGGTAAAATTTGTTAAAGTTGTCGGCGTCGTAATAGAATTTACGAGATTATTTTCATAATTTGTGACGTTATATGCATCACGGGATAAACTAGCGTCAAAATCGCGAGCAAAAAGTTGGCCGTTATCATTCGCACCTTCCTGCAATTGATTTTGGGAACTGGAATTATCGCTATTGAAGTATGCTAGGTTGGCCATGACAGAGGCGGCGTTCATCAAGGGGCTATCCACTCTTCCGGGAATGCCGGCGGCAATAAGGTCCAGGTTTTCGGTCAGAACTTTACCGATCGATCGGTTGTTACTGTATTCAAAATTATTGATTCTATGATCGATTATCAAAGATTCTTTGTTAGGGGAGCCATGTTCCAAATTGTCGACGTAGTACTCCAGATTGTTATTGAAATTATCCTCGGAAGAACCAATGCGCTGACTGGCATGGTAAGAAGTAACTGGAAGAGGCTGGAGGGAAGAAGGAAAATCCGGATCCTTGCAATTGTTCTCGTAGTGACGCTTTTTAACGCTCCACGTTTTGAAGGATTTTTTGCAGCGGGAACAATTATAAGGGAGTTTCTGGTTTAAATAATTTTAAAAAAATATAATTAATAATAATTTACGCGCGTTTTTTGATTCCATCTCGCTGTCAATATATCGTCTTCCTTTTTAAAAAATATTTCTTTCTTATTATATTAGAGGAATCGCATTTTATAACCATCCCGGTTAACGATCGAAATTTAATTATACCGAAACATGATATCGATCGATACCTTTTACAGATATTTAATAGATTAGGGAAAGTATGATGGATATATAGATCTCAGTAGGCAGTTATTGAGTATTATAGAATGGCAAACTATAATTAAATATCTATATAAATGTATATAGATAAAGCTTATGACATCTTCAACTTAAGATGTTGATGCTTGTAAAGGGATAATCGTAATAAAATAGTAATTTCTGTTTACTCAATCAAGTTAAATTTCTAGTTGACATTTATCTTGTTTTAAAATTAAAAATTAGCAAACCTGAAGAACTGCCGTTAAAACGGAAAAGAAGAATAACATGAATTAATATCCTTTAGATTTTTTGTCAAAACGAAAGTGTTGTCTTAAATTTAAAATAGGAGATAAACTGATAAATGCTTTCCCTCCATTAAACCTTAATCTTTATTAGGGCTGTGCCGAAATTTAGCATTTTCATATCAAATCGGGCCGATACCCGAAAAACACGATACTTTTCTTTTTTTTTGTTATTTTATGTTATGCATATTTATTTTACATTATTATAAAATTTCTAAATATTTTTTTGATGCAAATGCACAACATCACCTAAATTTTATTTATTTTTTTAAATAAATTTACAGTATTTTAAAAGTTTTTTTTATAAAATTAGAAAGGAACACCCAAAGTTTTATTTATTTTAAATCTTTTTTAAAAATAACGCCAATTTTATTATTTATACTTTAAATAAAAAAAAAATTTAAATATGGTATCTGAATTATGAAAATATTTTTCAAAAGACAAAGATAATTTTGCAAAATGCGAATTCTAATTTAACAGGCAGGAATTATTTATTAAAAAAAATCTAGTATATTATAATTTTATATATTAAATAATAAATATTACAATTTTATAATTCATATCAACATAAAATGGATATATTATTAAATACATGATTAATTATTTTTTTTAAAAAAGATAAGAATGTTATACTTACACCGGCGTGCAATAAAATGTGCCTTTTCAGGGTCGATTTCCTGCTCAACCTGACATTGCAAAATGGTTGAGGACATTTGAATGTTTTGTTTCCTTTTTAAAAATAAAAAACGTATAATTATGTAAAAAAAAATGTCATTTATATTGAAGGAGTGGAGTATAAAGTAATATTGAAATAAATATCTTTATTTTGAAAAATGATAGGCTTCGAAAAAAGGGTGTTGAATATATATTCTTTCTTACCCAATTAATAGCGGACCCCTATCTTACGCTATAACTAATAATCTCCATTTTTTCATAGGCCTGAACGCGCCATCAAATCGATTAACTATAACCAATTTGCCAAAATTTATAACTGAAGAAAATGAAACAAATAATTAATAAAAATTTTTTTTAAATTAACATCGGTCAGAGGGCACCTATTCCAACCCATTATAATCAGTTGTCGACGCCTCTAAACATGGAATAGGATCAATTCTATACGATTAATAACGAGGAAAATCCGATTGGAATGCCGCCAAACGAGATTTCAATCAGGTAGAGCGTGAAGCTTTGGCAATAATGTTTGCTTCAATTAAACTTAAACAATATCTTAATGTTAATTATTTTCCTATAATTCTGACCATAAACCCTTCATATCATTACTTAACCACCCTTCCTAACAGATTAACAGATACGATCAATACTACTAACAAAGTGACTATGAGTTTCAACTTAGAGGTACCGAACATAGCAATGCAAATATGCTTTTCCGTTTCCGAATCGATGGTAAACTACTGCTTGGGAAGAATTTTATATTCATTTAATAGTCGCAATTCTTCCCCAGCTTTAGATATATGCCTTACTGTTATCGAAAGTTTCATATTACATAATAATTTCCCAAAAGTAACAAATGAAGTTCATAGACCATTTTTCCAGTGAGAGAATGTATTATGGGGATTAGAAACCATAATTTCTAAAAATCGGCAAGTAAATGTTCCATCCTCTGGGCATGACAAAACAAAATAAATACCAGAGAGAGGTGGTATCAAAAACAGTCATACAACCTATGCCATCAATACACCCCAATCCTGGCACTGAAATTATCCCTACCCAAACCTAGATAAGGGAAGACATGTCAGAAACCGCTATAACCGAATAAATAGAAATCGCCCCAATGCCCTCTTGGTCCACCAATAATAGAAGGTAGCTATCTAAAACAGGAACTATTTATCCCATTTCGGATCGATGGGCATAAAAATAAAAATTTTTTAAAAAAGGAATGAGGGAATGATTTTTTAAAAATAGTTTAAAAATTGTAAATAGACAATATCTAATCGATTTCGCATTCTTTTATAAACTATATCTATCAGAATCTCCCCCACTAACGCCCACATTATTTTCGTCCCAATTTTCTTGTTCGTCTCCGCAGGATAAGTGAGCCTTCTTCATGTGAATCTCGCATACGCCGGGTCTTCTAAAAGTCTTGTAGCAATGAGGGCACGAAAATGGCCTCTCCTGTAAATAATAATATAGAGGGGTAGGGATTAGTCAAATATAGTAGCTGGGTATAGGAACGTTTTGCATAACGGTTTAGTTTAGTTTAGTTCCGGTTAATTAGTGACAAATTTTTATCGGTTTTTAGAAATTCAAGTTAGATATAAGTAATATATTTTTAAAGTATCTATTCTCAGTGCAAAGTTACCTTATAGTGCGCACAAATTGAGGGTTTCATTCGCTGAGTTGCAAGCGTAAATAATACATTTCAAATGGCCTCGTGCAAATTGGTTTACCGTTTGGCGTTAGCAAAAAAGCAAATAGGTTTGCTATTTCATTACTTTTTTTTATTCTTGGCTTGTTAATATTATATAAAATGTAATAACTTACTTATATCCTAAAAAGGAATATTTAGAAATTAAAGAAATAAGAAGGCAGACGACAATATAATTTTCAAAGACAAATCGTTTTTTTAGAACTTATTTAAAATTTTGACTCGACGATATTAATATAAAGGCAACTTCAATATAAACTAGGGATGCGTTACGTTTTTTTTTATTAAAAAATTACGGCAAAACGTAAACGCTCAATTTGTATGCACTATTATACGTTGTTTTAATAAATTTTTTGAGATTTACAAATAGAAGGAATGAATATAAATTAAAATACAATTAAATAAACAGGGTATAAACCAGAGATTCAACCGAACCCGGAAAAGAAAATTCGGGTTTTTGAAAAAAAATCTGAACCCGAACCAAACCTGAACCCAGTTTATAAAATTTCCAAAACCCCGAACCGAACCCGGGAATTTTATTTGAACCCAGATTCATCCGTGTTCAGAGTATTGTTAAAATCGTATATTGAGATATTTGTATAATTGTAAATACAAATATCAATAATTTAATTGAAATTTTATAATATTTTCAAACAATTAAGTGAAGTGTTAATAAATTTTAAACAACTTATTTCATTTACGTCATTTTTAAATTGTTTTACATTCTCAAGGATTCCTATTGGAGTGTTAATAAATTCTAACCAATTAAATTCATTTATGCCATTTATTTTTAATTTTTAACTGATTCTCAAAGATTATTAATTAGAGGAAAATAAAAGTGAACAAGGCAAAGTAAATATTTTTATATTGACTTTGTTAATTTAAAGAATTCTCAAAATCTATAACTTAAAAATTGTTAAACAAAGATGTAGGGCAGTTTTTGCAAACTTTTATATTTTTAACTATATTTTGCCTATAAATATAATAAAAAATTTATTATTTATACCAAATTTAAGTCTTCAAATATATAATTTTTTTTTATCAATTCAAAAATCCCGAGCTGAACCCGGACCCAAACCCGGGTTCAAAAAATTTCCCTTAACCGAACCCAAACCGCACCCACCTATTTTTTTTACCTCAAACCGAACCCGTGCAAAATATTACCGGGTTTGCATCCCTGCACAAATCAAATAAGCAATCTAATCATTTTTAAAATGTTTGGTTATTTAACAAAATTTAATAAAAGATTAGTTATGTATTAGATTCGTTTATTATTTAATTATAATTATATGGTTGTTTTTGTATAACCCACCATCCCTGAAAATCAACATTATAATACTTTCACTGACATCTAAACCCCAAATATGTTTCAAATTTAAAAAATAATGAAATCGAAGTGGAAATAAAAAGTGACTAATTTTATATCTTCAAGAATAATTTATAAATACCTTCCTTTATAAAAAATACGCCCTGATCAAATATTATATTCTACAACTTTAATTTAATTAGAAAACTATTATTAATATAAGAATCATTCATAATTTTATTAGAATAATATTAAACATGATTTCGGTTTTTTTTAAAAAAATATCATCTATTGTCAAAATAGGAGAAATAAAAAATACAGAGAGAGACTAGGTTAATAATATACCATAAAGTTAAATTTTTAATTATTAAAAAAAATGGAACAAAAGATTAAATTACCCCGGTGTGTGTTATCATATGCCTTTTAAGACTCCCATTTGTGGAAAACGATAATCTGCAGGTTGGAAATGAACACTCAAACGGTTTTTCACCTTTTTTTTGTAATATAAAATGTGAAATGATGTCATTTAATAAATTAAATAATTAAATTAATTGAACTTATCAGAATATTCTCGAATGATTTGTGCAACAAATCCCACAAACATTCAATATATAAAGTTCTTCAAATAAAAGAAATTAACATGTTTATTTTTTTTTACAAACTCAGTTAGTGTTGTTAAAAGGCCCGATTGGAGCTTATTTTTAAAAAGGGCTAACTCAATATTTTCGCCATAAAATTATTGCCAATTAGTGTCACCTATGACCAAAATCTTCAGCCTTGCGTAATATTTTTCTGGATAAAATGGTGGTGAGTTAGCCATTTTTAAAAATCGGCTCAAATCGAGCCGGTGTGCCGATATTAAGGCCAAATATTTAGCGCCCTTAAAGGGTGTTCGAGAGCTGAAACCAAAAAAAATAACTATCCCAACAATTATAATAATAAAAAAAATTCCGCAAGTTTTAATGTTATAATTAGATTCCATGTCAAGTCAATCACTTTACAACCCGACCATCTCAAATTTTGTTAAATTTTGGTATATAAGTTAATGAAGTGTTGTGATTGACGAATCCAAAATATTGGCCCCTAAACTCTACTAGAACCGGAGATATAGGATCTCAAAGTGGTTCTGCTTGGTCATTTTTCGAAAAAAATGATTTTTTAAGATAGGGATGACTTATTAGATGCACTATATATATATCTATTATATATCTATCATGGCTCATTTTATAGCCCTAAGTAAACTCTTCCACGTATTTTAAATAAATTAAATTTTAATTTATAAATTTTTTTTAAATTGAGATCAAAAATTTGAATTTTTTCCCCCAAATTTCAGATATTTTGTAATGTGTTACCAAGAAGTTCATATAAAAATTTAAGTAGGAAAAATGCTTAAAATAAAAAATACCGCTAGAGGGCGTTAATAATTTCAAATAGCTTAAAACTTCATTTTTGAAAATATAAGTCAATCTAGGGTGGCCTGGGAAGTGGCCCAGTGGTAACTTTGTACTTCCTCTTGAAGTATGAATGAGTAATTTTAAGAAAAATCACATATTACTAAATAATGATCCTGCTCTTAATTGTTTTTATGTTCACTAATAAAAGCATAGCCCATCGAAATAAATATTTTTTTAAATAAGTAAATAAGAAATTTGGCAGCTATGCGTTAGTATCTCTAGACTTGTTCTATCTACAGAAATCCATTGCTTAAACGAAATTCTATATTATATCGTGTTACAAACAAATTTTCTAATTGGCCCCTTTAGGCTGGTCTACAGGGCATTCTCGGCAATCGCCAAAGTAACAGGCTCGCAGGGGGAGGATGCAAGATATATTTATAGAATTTTGTTTAAGCAATGAATTACTGTAGATAAAACAAGTCTAGAGACACTAACGCAAACAGTTGACGAATTTCTTATTTACTTATTTGAAAAAATATTTATTTTGATGCGCCATGCTTTTATTAGTGAACAGCAAAACAAATTCCATCAGAATCTTAAAAACAATTTAGAGCAAGATCATTATTTAGTAATATGTGATTTTTCTGATAATTCAGTATTAAGCCCAGTCCGTCTTAAACAATCTCTTATAAATGGTCCGTCCCAAATAAATAAAAATATTTGGACCGGGGACTGATGGACCGTTCCTATTCACCCATAAATCATGAAATAACGATGGGAAAAAAAATTAAAATAATTTGTCATTTTTTTAAAATAAATATAAACAAACATTTCTTTAAAATAAGAGATTATCTTGGTATCAGCCAATGGCACGGGTAAAGTTAAGGCTATACGTATTGGTGTATATTTCTGATTTAAAGCGATAAAAGTTTCTAAAAAACAAAAAAATTTAATATTTCACCCGTATGAGATCTGATATGGTCCTTGAGATGGCTGATCTTTTTAAACCGTTTTAAACAGAGTTCGCATAAGTATCGTCTTTCATTAAAGTCACCCATGGCATCCTTGTCATCGCCAGCTCCCCCCACAACTTTATACAGAGAACTGTTGAATTGATTTTCGTAACTGGCATCCTCTATTTTGTCCAGGTTGAGCGCTATACTGTTCAGCATTTCGATGTTTTTATCGCAATCTTGGCCAACCACGTTAGGTTGTTCGGTAGTTAAAACTTGCACCTCATTTTCGAGTTTTATGTCGCTGACATCGATCGTGTATATTATATCCCCATTTATTGGGTTGATCGACGTTTCTATGTTGTTGGAGAGGTTCAGATTATCGGGTTTAAAGTTGTTGATGTATGGAAGCGAGCAATTCTTCGCTGTGTATAAATTGGATTTAAAATTACTTTTAAAGTGGGGCTTGTGAAGCGAGTGTTCTCATTCCCTTTACTAGAAATTTTTTTAATATAAAAATTTAAATTCTTTTACAGCCCCCCCTTCCATATTTGGGTTCAAAAATTCAATAAACCTGTCGCTACGCACGCAAATGATAGATCATTTACTACTTCGAGGATGAAAGTTATTATGAAGGAAATTGCGATAGTTTAATTTAATATATCTAGAAATTTCACTTTTCATAGATTACCAAAAAAAATGAAAATTATTTATACACTGCTTCAAAAAAGATCAAATTCACTTGAAGAAATGTCAGAATAGTTTGAGCCAGATCTGAAACCAATAACATTGTTAGCTTTAATCAGATGATTTCTTTTGCATTGGAATGTATAAATAAATTTTACTTAACTATCTTACATGATATTTGGTTAAAAAAAACCCTCATTAAATAATATTGTGGCAAAACTTAGCTAAGTAAGATATAACATTATAATTTCATGAGATTGATGTTAAATTAAAAATGGAAGCTTCATTGAGGCAAACATATTGCTCCAATATTAGGGTTGCTTTGATTAAAAATTATTACAAGATAAATACCATTTTTAAAAAATTATTGATCCAATTATGGCTTCAACTAATTTACAGATATTATTGTCTCTCTTTGTGTGAAAATATATTGATTCTTAATATTGAGAAAATCAAATATCTGACCCAATTAAATTAAAGTATCTGATTGCCAATTAAAGGATTTAAATCTTGATATGAAAAGATATATTCTATTTAATATTTTTTCAATAAAACATTGCATACTTTAAATTATAATTTTTTAAAAAAATGAGAACTTTATCTTAATTAGAGGGAACAACCTGTATTAGAAGTAGGACATTAGAAAATTTATTAACCGGATTAGTTCTAATTAGTAAAGGTCTAGATTCTAGTTGAACCTATTGATCAGAATATAGCCAACTACTGGCGCAAAATTGCTCTTATTTGAGCCGATTTTAAAAAACGGTGAAGGCCACTTTTAAACACAAAGTTTTTTCCAAAGCGAGAAAAAACAAATACAGCTTAATAGATGTGCCCTTCCAAACACAACGTTTTTTTATTAATGCATACGATTTTGCATTATTATAAATATCAAATGAGTTTGATATTTTTTTAACGATTAAATGGCGTCTTAAACGATTGAAATGAACTAGTTCCATTTATATATTATATTATGCAATAATTTTAAACCAGTTAAATATCACATAAAGAATTAGATGAATTGTGGATATTATCAAAAGGTAAAATAATTATTCGTTAAGTTTACTGAACACCTTTTTATTTTGATCAAAGGAATATTTTTTTAAACTAATTAAGCATACAAATATATTAATTTATATTTTGTGTTATGAAGTTAAAACAAGAGAATCAATTAGTGTTGTTAATTTGCTTGATAGTAAAATTTACGACCCAAGGGGCTCAGGTCTGATCTGAGCACGAATTGAACTTAGGAAAATATAATATCAATCTAGGAGCTAATCAAAAGGTCTATTCATTAGGATAAGCGTTCCCTATCGATGGGCGGCCAATCTAGGGCTAGAGGGTTCAGGAATATTTTTTATCAACACAAAATAACAATATTGGTATCAAATAAAAGGTGTTTTAATTATATCTCGACTGTAAATCATAATTATTATTCTAAGTGGGCGGGTCTAGGTCTTGAGGTGACAGGAATATTTTAGCAATGCAAGATAGATGTCTGCAATGAGCGGATTTTTAGCCAAAAAGCCCACCCACCCTTTGTTTTGAAATCTATTTAACCCCCCCTCCAGCTCACTTATTTTAAAAAAAATATAAACCCGCCCGCCCATTTATCTATAAATTTTGTTTAACCCGCTCGCTCGCCTAATGTTCAAAAATTATTTAATAGCTGGTTTGACTCTCTATTTATTTATTTTAATGTATTTTTAATTAAACATAAATAATATGCAATATTATGAAATAAAACTATTATTTTTAATAAATTGAAAGTTTATTCTGCTCATTTCACCTGAAAAATATCAAAAATTCTCACACCCACGCCCGCCCTATGTTGGAAATATTTTAATAACCCAGACCACACCCAACCAGAACAATGCAGACCTCTGATGCACGATATTGATTTGGGCATTTTTTAAAAAATTTGATTGAATTCATAATTATTATTCAAAGTGGGCGGTTCTAGGTCTTGAGGGGTCAGGAATATTTTCATCAACACAATATCTCATTATAAGTATCAAATAATAGATAATTAAAATATCCTTTCACAATGTAAATTGAGCCCCCCCCCTACTTTATCATATCTTACATGTTGTTGTTTTTTTAAATTTTATAAGGTAAAAAAAAATTGTGTGATGAGATAATATATCTTTTTTTTCGTTTATTTATAATAAATTTAGATGTTATAGACTTTAATAAAATAAATAAATAGAAGGAATGTTCCAATTATTATTTTGTGTTGATAAAAATATTACTGACCCCCCCCCCCCCGAGCCCTAGATTAGTCCATCAAAAGGGAACGTGTGTTCTCCTAGTGAATATATCTTTTAATTAGCTCATTGATTGATACCTAATACTTACCTAAGTTCAACAAAAAACAACTAAAGATAAATGGGGTTTTGCTTGGGGTCTGTACTCTGGGTTTATGCTCACAGCTGGCTTAGTCGATTTTTAGACCCAAACTCGAGTCTTGGTTTTACATAACCAACCAATTAACAACACTAGATTCTATAAATTTAAGAAAATTATGATAATGGTGGATAACTATCTATGATTATGAATTATTATAAAAATGAATGTAGCAGATTAAGCTCAGATATTACATTTGTCTCAGAACATCTTAAAACAATTACAAAACTTAGATAAAATGACAGATATGTTATTATTTAAATATTTTTCACAATTTGCATAAATTTTTATAGAAATTTTATGCAATTTAAATATATTTATTAAAATATTATAAACAATTACATATTTAGAAATAAAAACGTTGAATTATTAATTACACAGTTATCTGGAGATACCATTTAAGATAATTTAATACTTTATAAGTTATAGTTGCATCAATATATTTTCATCTTAATCCCTTGTTTTTCTTAAATACATCTCTTAATTCAATATTAAAAACATGTATTATATAAGATATATTCATTGCATTTTTTATGTCATTACATTTATTAATGTAAATTTTATAATAAAGGTAATCTATTAAGAATTAATTTTATCTTAAATAACTTATCCCTCTAAATATTCAGTTTGCTTATTCTGCTTGTATAGGCTAATTGAAAATAATTTGGCCCTCTATGTAGTTTATATGCTTTCTATATTTAAATAAGTTAATAATAGTTTTGAAGTAGTCCCATTTCTGGAGATACTTTTTTGCACAAATTATTTATTAAAATATTTTGTAATGTAAAAAATTAGATGTATAATACTTTGATTGTTTGAAAGTAAAAAATATTTTGAAATAACATTGTATTTGGAAGTGGCCTAATTCAGTTTTTATCCAGAAAAATACTATGCAAGGCTAAATATTTTGCTCATGGATAACACAAAGGTTTGGACATTTATTAGCAAAATCTTGATGTTTAGGCTATATTTTTCTAGCTAAAGTATTGAGTTATCTGTTTTCAAAAATCGGCTCAAATGAAGCAAATTTGCATCACTACAACCGATGCTAATATTTTTTAAAAAATTTGGTTTGTTGAGTGTAGAGATCTACAATGCCTAGCTTAAGCTAATCTGAGGAAATTGCTATGAGGTTTTTGGCTCTGCCCAGCATATATTATAACTGATCAGGTTATTAAAATATTTTTTGAACAGTTTGTCTGGTCTGGTCCAAAAATCTTTTTTTTCTGGCCCAGTCCATTGACCAGGCTTCTCAGAGGTATTCCAACCTCTGGTGAAGTGGTTATAACTTTGACAATTGATCTTCACTAGCTCCTTAATATTCATAAATATTTGAGGTACATTACAAATACTTATTGAAAAAATTTTTATTTATGAATGATATTTTAATTAACCTTTTTAATTTTATGATATTTTATTGTAGTTTATTAATCAGTTTATTTTCTAATATTCAAAAATTTTAAACTATGATTAGTTCTATTAAATTTTTTATCTGATTAGTTCTACTAATGTTGCAAAAAAAAATTTATTTTAATAGTTCAAACCCCCATACCTTCTCCTTTTCCTGCCCCCCCCCCCACCTTATAAAATTTTTGGTCATGCATCTCAATATAATGCCGATTAAAATATTATATCTAAATATTAAGATTAGTCTTAAGAGTTTGTATATAAAATTATAGTTTACTGAATATACAAATTTTCAACAATAAAAATATGACACTTTCTTGCCTTTTCTCCAAATATAGATTTCTGATAATGGCCCTAAAACTAAGAATAGTGAAAAATAACATTTAATTTTACAATTTGTTATTAAAAAATAATGATGATCAAGATTTATGCATAAATTAAAGAGCTAATATAAATAAAAAAATGAGATACCTTTAAATTTAGATATCTTAAGTTCATCACTATCTTTGTTGTAATGTCTTTTAATATGATTTTCACAACTTTTATATTTCTTGAAGGTCTTTAAACATACAGTACAAGCAAAAGGATGGTCCTAAAATTTGATATATTTATCTTAAGTTGAATAAATGATTACGTACCAAAGTATGGGTTACCATGTGTTTTTTCAATGTTCCATTGTTATTAAATACAGTCATACATATAAGGCATTTATATGGAGTACTTGAGTCATCTTAATTATAAAATTTCAAGAAAAAAACACATTAAAAATCCTTAAGTATAACCCTTTTTCCGATTAAAGATAAAAATAAAAATAAATTGAAATTGAAATCGAGAAAAAAATAATAATTTAATAACCTTACCCATGTAGTGAATTGTTTTTTAATAAATTATAAACTTTTTTTTCTCATAACAAAAAGGATAGAAACACATTAGACAGATTAAATAAATTTTGTAATAAGTTAAAATTGGAAATTTGTTTTTTTTTATTTTCAAATAATTTATTTTTGTCTAAGAAGCTAAGATATTTTTATTTAGTCTAACTATGATTTGCAGCGAATGTAAACTTTTTTTCTAATATTATTCTTAAAGTTTGACATCCCTTAGCAGCGGACTGGCCATGATTCTAAGTGGGCATTTTGCGCCCGAGATCGAGAAATATCTTTATTTGAGACCATTAAGAGAAAAAAACACAAATTTTATCAGCAATCCTATTCGATTTGACGTGTTGTAGTAAATGACTTTGAAAATAATACTATACATAATTTGTTTATAATTTATAGACAGGAATCTTGAAAATAAACAAATAATCCGACATCACTAAGGTATTTTTTTATCATATTTGTGACCACTAGTGTTGTTAAAAAGCCAGATTTAGATTGATTTTTTAAAAAGACCCTATTAAGATTTTAGCTAAGATATATTATTAAGCATCGAGATTTGGCAAATAGATTTTCAAGTTCTGCCAGCTATGAGCAAAATTTTTGGGCTTACATAATGTTATTTTATAATCTTGATTACCGTATTTTAAAATCGATCGGAATCTGGTTTTTTTTAATAATACTAGTCACCACTAGGTGAGTAATTCCTTAAATTGGAAAATAAAGCCACATAAATAGCGATCGTAAAAGAGCTCTATTTCGAATATGTCATTACAAACTCTATTCATCAAAGTAATTGCATTGCTATTCATGGTTCCATATAGCATTATAAGTAAACCGATCTCTTAATTATTTTTTTTTAAATTTTTATTCAGTTTCTGTTTTTTTTATCTTATATATATCTATATATATTTATTTTATTATTTGCAAAAAATAGAAATTTCTAAGAATAAGCAATAATTAAATTAAATATGTTATTATAAGCGATTATTATTTTATGTGACTACTGTGAATAAACATTTTGTTTTTTTATAATTTTTGTAATAAATATATAGGCTATGTTTTATTAGTTACGTGTTTTTAAAATGACCTTTGTTTTAAATTGGTTTTTTAATAATAAAAAATATATTAAAATATAATTTGCATTTAGATGTATAAGAAACAATATTTGGCGGCCCATAAAATAGTCTGATTCTGGTCCCACTGTTTGATTGTACCTTTCGCACGAATTTTGATGTGTATAAGCTAATTTTTTAAAAAAAGTGTAAAAAGGATCTTTCGATATGAAAGACAGTTGATTAAAGCTTGAGTCAGTGCATTAGGAGTAAAAAAAATTATAGTTCAAACGGTCTAAAAAAAAATTAAGTTTGTTATTATATCTCATATAAAAAATTTATGTTATTTATTGTCTATTGTCATATAATTATTTTAATGCTTCGCTATAGTTCTTCCGCAGTACCTTCAATAACCCCAAACATCTCATTTTCCTTCTTTTTTTTGTCAAAATAAATTTTAGAATGCTAGGTGAAAATATTACCTTTGTACTTTGTTATAATAAAATAAATTAGGTAAACATCATTAAATAATCAAAGTTATTGTAATATTTATATTGATGATAACATTAGAGTTTTTAAATATAGGGTTGAACAATCCCGATTGGTAAATTAGGAATGATTCCCGTTTTTAAGGGAGTAAGGTTTGAGTTAATGATAAAGAAATCTTTTAAGAATTTTAAAAAGTATCAAAAAAGCAAATAAGCTAAAATGGCGTCCTATATGCCCCCTAATAGTTTTGAAGCTAGAGAATTATAAAAACATAAAATTTAGCTATAAAAATAATTGAATATATGGGAACTTACACCGACTTAACAATAACGGGATTTAACTATACAGACTCACACTGACTGAAATCATGACTATAACATTATTTTGAAACAAATTATTTAGGTTGATGAAAATGATATATAAGAGGGCAAAAGGGAAAGGTCAAATTAATAGATAATTGCCATTTTTGGGATAGTAAATGACAAGTTTTTAGGCTTTATAGGCTGTATTTTTTTATTTTATTAAATCACTACAATATTTATTTCACAATATAATTATAATTACGTCAAAATTCTGTAGATACATTGATTATGGGTATATTATTTAATATAAAATAGAATTTTAATAATATCATTGCATGCATTATTATATCTTTCATTGAATTGTGATAATATAATTTTAATTAATGGCAATCATTATCAGAAGTAGTGTTGTTAATCGGCTTAGCCGAGTCGGCTCGAACGCAGCTCACCCAAATTTTGGGTCGTTTTTTTCGACTCTAACTCAAAGTTTTGGTTGTTTTTTACGACTTCGACCCGAGTTCAAGCCGAAAAAAACGACTTCGACCCAAAATATGGGTCGTTTTTTTCGACTCCGACCCAAGTCCAAGCCGAAAAAAACGACCTCGACCCAAAATATGGGTCGTTTTTTACGACTCCGACTCAAAATTAGGGTTGTATTTTTCGACTCAAACTTGAAATTTGGGTCGTATTTTTCGACTCAAACTTGAAGTTTGGGTCATATTTTTCTACTCAAACTTGAAGTTTGGGTCGTATTTTTCGATTCAAACTTGAAGTTTGGGTCGTATTTTTTGACTCATACTTGAAGTTTAGATCGTATTTTTTGACTCAAACTTGAAGTTTAGATCGTATTTTTCGACTCCAACTCAAAGTTTGGGTCGTTTTTCTGACTCAGACTCAAACATCGGGTCGTTTTATAAAATATGGATCTTTTTTTTTAAAGATGACTTAAAGTTAGGGTTGCTTTTTTTCACCCTTAACCCAATATCTAGATCATTTTTTTTGACCAAAAGTCAAATAACATTTAGTATATATTAATATTATAGGTGGGAAAGTTACTTAAAGCTTCTTTAAATTATAATGCTCTGGATTAACTATTCATCATAGTTATTTTTTAAAATTTTTAAGTGAAGATGCACCATAGAAAAGAGCCATTTGTTATGATGGTTATTTTTGAACTTTTTAAATGAAATAGATGAAAATATATATTGTAGACATGTTAAATCAAAATTTCAGTGAAGATGTACCATATATAGGTGACAATTGTCATAATCGCCATTTTTGAACTTTTTTGAGTTTTTTTAAAGCAAATTGCTAAAAATATATATTCTAAACATGTTGAATTAAAAATTCAGTGAGGATGTATCATAGATAGGTGACAATTGTCATAATCGTTATTTTTGAACTTTTTTCAAATTTTTAAAGCAAATAGCTAAAAATATATATTCTAAACATGTTAAATTTAAAATTTGTGAGGATGTATCATAGATAGGTGACAATTGTCATATCGCTATTTTTGAACTTTTTCAAATTTTTTTAAAGGAAATAGCTAAAAATATATATTCTAAACATGTTAAATTAAAAATTCAGTGAGGATGTATCATAGACAATTGTCATAATCGTTATTTTTGAACTTTTTTCAATTTTTTTAAAGGAAATAGCTAAAAATATATATTCTAAACATGTTAAATTAAAAATTCAGTGAGGATGTATCATATATAGGTGACAATTGTCATAATCGCTATTTTTGAACTTTTTCAAATTTTTTTAAAGGAAATAGCTAAAAATATATATTCTAAACATGTTAAATTAAAAATTCAGTGAGGATGTATCATATATAGGTGACAATTGTCATAATCGCTATTTTTGAACTTTTTCAAATTTTTTTAAAGGAAATATCTAAAAATATATATTCTAAACATGTTAAATTAAAAATTCAGTGATGATGTATCATAGATAGGTGACAATTGTCATAATCGCTATTTTTGAACTTTTTCAAATTTTTTTAAAGGAAATAGCTAAAATTATATATTTTAAACATGTTAAATTAAAAATTCAGTGATGATGTATCATAGATAGGTGACAATTGTCATAATCGCTATTTTTGAATTTTTTCAAATTTTTTAAAGGAAATAGCTAAAAATATATATTCTAAACATGTTAAATTAAAAATTCAGTGATGATGTATCATAGATAGGTGACAATTGTCATAATCGCTATTTTTGAACTTTTTCAAATTTTTTTAAAGGAAATAGCTAAAATTATATATTTTAAACATGTTAAATTAAAAATTCAGTGATGATGTATCATAGATAGGTGACAATTGTCATAATCGCTATTTTTGAATTTTTTCAAATATTTTTAAAGGAAATAGCTAAAAATATATATTCTAAACATGTTAAATTAAAAATTCAGTGAGGATATGTCATATATAGGTGACAATTGTCATAATCGCTATTTTTGAACTTTTTCAAATTTTTTTAAAGGAAATATCTAAAAATATATATTCTAAACATGTTAAATTAAAAATTCAGTGAAGATATATCATAGATAGGTGACAATTGTCATAATCGCTATTTTTGAACTTTTTTAATTTTTTTTAAAGGAAATATCTGAAAATATATATACTAAACATGTTAAATTAAAAATTCAGTGATGATGTATCATAGATAGGTGACAATTGTCATAATCGCTATTTTTGAACTTTTTCAAATTTTTTTAAAGGAAATAGCTAAAATTATATATTCTAAACATGTTAAATTAAAAATTCAGTGAGGATGTATCATAGATAGGTGACAATTGTCATAATCGTTATTTTTGAACTTTTTTCAATTTTTTAAAGTAAATAGCTAAAAATATATATTCTAAACATATTAAATTAAAAATTCAGTGATGATGTATCATAGATAGGTGACAATTGTCATAATCCCTATTTTTGAACTTTTTCAAATTTTTTTAAAGGAAATAGCTAAAATTATATATTTTAAACATGTTAAATTAAAAATTCAGTGATGATGTATCATAGATAGGTGACAATTGTCATAATCGCTATTTTTGAATTTTTTCAAATATTTTTAAAGGAAATAGCTAAAAATATATATTCTAAACATGTTAAATTAAAAATTCAGTGAGGATGTATCATATATAGGTGACAATTGTCATAATCGCTATTTTTGAACTTTTTCAAATTTTTTTAAAGGAAATATCTAAAAATATATATTCTAAACATGTTAAATTAAAAATTCAGTGAAGATATATCATAGATAGGTGACAATTGTCATAATCGCTATTTTTGAACTTTTTCAAATTTTTTTAAAGGAAATAGCTAAAATTATATATTCTAAACATGTTAAATTAAAAATTCAGTGAGGATGTATCATAGATAGGTGACAATTGTCATAATCGTTATTTTTGAACTTTTTTCAATTTTTTAAAGTAAATAGCTAAAAATATATATTCTAAACATATTAAATTAAAAATTCAGTGATGATGTATCATAGATAGGTGACAATTGTCATAATCGCTATTTTTGAATTTTTTCAAATTTTTTTAAAGGAAATAGCTAAAAATATATATTCTAAACATGTTAAATTAAAAATTCAGTGAGGATGTATCATATAGGTGACAATTGTCATAATCGCTATTTTTGAACTTTTTTTAAAGGAAATAGCTAAAAATATATATTCTAAACATGTTAAATTAAAAATTTAAGAGGATGTATCATAGATAGGTGACAATTGTCATAATCGTTATTTTTAAACTTATTCCAATTTTTTTAAAGCAAATAACTAAAGATATATATCCTAAAAATGTTAAATTAAAATATCAGTGAGGATGTATCATAGATAAGGGACAAAAAATGTTATTATATATACGAGTAGTAAGGTACATAATAATTTTTGAGTGATAAAATGAGATGCTAATATATTTCTTGTAATTTTAATTTATAAAAAAATTCTTAAATATGTTATTGTCATAGACTGGGTCAGAAAATCAACTATCACATAAACTCATCTATGTTTTATTCATATTATATTTTTAAGTTTAAGGATATTAAAATATTTCCTCTTTGAAGTTTCTAGTTAGGATAAAATTTACTTGGCACATCTTACAATGATATTTATACCTTGTTTTTTTTTCGAGAATAAATTTTATGCGATATCTCATGAAGGAAATTACATATCATTGTACAGAGAAATAACTTTGTATATATTATCTGCACCAATATCTTTTATATCAATCTCTATCGATGACATTTTAAATTATATTGGAAACTAGATTGTGTAGATTTCTAAATATTAATTTAAAGGATTAAGATTTTAGAATTAATTATAAATATATCTTAATAATTTTTATATTGCATTTATTATTTAAAATCTCTCGTTTTAAGCCTATTTAGCAAGAAAAATATTGACTAATCCTGAAATTACGATAATAGATATCTATACCTTTATATAATCTATGAGAAAAATTGCTCTCATAATATTCTTCTTAATAAAATAGTGAATAATTAACGCCTGAAAAAAAGTATAGCGCTTTATAACATGGTTCAAAGTTAATCCCAGTATCAATTTTAATGTGTAATTTTTCTCAAGTGTTCAAAATTCTAAATCTTAATATCAAAAACTATTTTAGTTATCAATTTAAAGTCAAATAATATTAAAACACTAATATTCTACAGTATTCATAAAAAACAACAGCCTGAAACAAGAATACTAAGCTCAAAACATCTTAAATATTTGATACATTTATAGTTTAAATATTTTTATTTAAATTATATATATTTATTAATGTACAAAAAATTTAATTTAACAATATATATAGATATAAAAATTATGTATAAAATTTATTATTCATGATATTGATATCCCATGAATTTAAACATAAACACTGTTTAAGTGTTTCGGAGGCCATGCGATTTCTTTTCTTTGTTACGGTGTCCACCCCTCTTGAGAAGACACGCTCGCTCTCAACGGATGTACTTTGCTGCGACAAAAAATCTTTAGCCATCATGCAAAGGTACGGAAAACGCTCAGAATTACAGCTCCACCAATCCAACACTGTAGTCGTTGCTGAGACTACTGGATCAGCTAGGTATTCGGCGATCTCGTTCATTGGAACTAACGAGGCTTTCCTAAAAATATAAAATAAATTATTAAAATTAAATATATCAACTTTGAGAAAATTTAAAATAGTTATAGAATATTAAATATATACCTTCTCAGACTATTTAAGATAGTTATTGACATCATTTCACAATTATCGTCTTTTTCTGATATTTCTCACGATATATTACACCGGTATTTACCATATAAAGCAATCAATTTTTCATAATAACATTCTTTGTTCATCCATAAAGGTATGAATGTTTTCTTGATACGTGGATCAAGAAAACTACACACATATATTTCGAAATTGTCCATAATATTGATATATTTTTGGCATTTAGCCAACATAGATCTAGACGATTCTACTATAACATTATTATTACTGGTTTCAATACTTGTTACCAGTAATATTTGAATCGTATCTAAATATAGTGCATACATCCCTATTGTAGATGTATTCGTGCTTATCTCGCACGTTATTTTATAAAAAGGATATAAAAAATCCTCTATATCTTTTAACATTCTACTCTCATCTGTATTAATGTAAAAATTTTCATTGATACATCTTTTCCCCATTTTAACAATAGTTTCTAAATTCTATAAATCAAACAGTAAAAAAATTAAATATTAATATTAATACCTTATTAATTTTACTAAGCATGAGATACTTTGAATTCCACCTAGTTGACACATCTAATGGAATTTTGCAATTACAAATATCAACAAAATCCTGCATCAAGGAAGGACTTTTATGAATTTTTTTCACCAACATCTCAACTTTTTCTAAATCTGTTGAGATTGTTGGCAGTCCTTCTTGTACAATCAAATTAATAATGTGGGCAAGACATCTAATTGTGTTAAAATTTTGGTTATATGTCTCACGAATTAAAGGAATTATGAGCTTTCCCGCCGAAAGCATGTTCGATCCATTATCATGGGTAATGGATGATATTTTATCTATTATTTTGTACTCTGTCATTATTGATAATAATAATTCTTTAATATCTTCACCCGTGTGAGGGTGGGCAAATTCCGTAATTGATAATAAGGCATTAGTTATATTCCATTTATCATTTATATAATGGACCGTTATGGCGCAATAACTTATTAAATTATTGCTGGTCCATATGTCTGTTGTTATTGCCATCTTATTTTTATAATTATGGAAGGAATTCATAATATTTGTTTTAGCCTCGTTATATATATTGTTTAAATATTTCATAGCAGTTTGCCTGCACCAAACTTTGGAGGTTTTGTTTAAATATGTAAAGATGTCTTTAAAATTTTTACTATCATACGTTCTAAATGAAATATTTTCATTGATGATATATTTGAGTATTAATTTATTTAAATGAAAATTATCGTCTGTTGTAAGTTTTCTTGCCCTATAATAGAATCAGGCAAAGGTGGCGAATCATTGATTACTTCAGGATGTTTGGTTAAAAGATGTTTGCGCAAATTGGCTAAAATAAATTATATATATTATTAAATAAATTATATATATTATATATGTCGTATTTGGGATATGGAATCATGTGAGATTCGGAATCCCAACGTTGGGATTCAAGATCTTGAATCCCCACATTTTATTCGGGATCTTTTTGTTTAAATATTTTTATAAAAATATTTAAAAAATTTTCCGAATCCCCATGCATAAAAAATAAAATAATATAATTACCTTTTCTTCTCTTTTTTACGGCTGGCACCACATAATTAAAAGGCCAAAATAAGGGATTTAAAAAGGGAATTTAAAAAAAAGTAAATAGTATAAAATTAAGGCATATAATGAATGAAAAGGGATGAGGTTAAGACATTTTTGTTTTAGAAAATATTAAAAAATATATTTATAAAAAATCCGAATTATTGCAACAATTATTCAATGCAATATGGCATTTCATTGAACATTTAAGCAGGGATCCAAACATTTATAACGGTTCAGTATATAAAAAATTATAATGGTTTATTTTTCTGGATGTAATATTGAGTTAGCCGTTCTAAAATATCAAATATGAATAAGGAAAAATACTATGTATCTTTAGGTTGAGACAAATAAGGTCAGACTCATTTAGAGATTGTTAAAACTTAATTATTTATAACAACGAACAAATTTTAAGTTGAGATTATCAAAATGTTTTTTTTTAAAAAAAGCTAAGGACCAATATATATTTTTATTTTTTTTTTTACATATTTTTATATAGTTTTAATATTTTAGTGTTTTATCATATTTTTTTAAATTATAACAATATCAATATTATCAAAATAAAATTTTAAAAAATAAAACAAATAACAATGGCAATATTTAGAAGTTTTGGAAGCAGGAAAATTTATTTCCTTTTTTGAGAAAATTAGAGAGTAAAATTTTGTCAGCCCAGGCAAATTCGGTTTCTAGTGAAAGGCTATTTTTCTGTAGCCAATCGCCTATTAGAGGAAAGGCGTACACAATTGAAATAAAAAAAATAGACATTCTTCTTTTTCTAAGTAAAAATTTGGATTTATAATATGTATTTATTTTTTGTTATTATGGATTATGGAATTAATGAAATAAATAGAATAAATTCAATAAAGTGAAAAAATTATAGCATTAAAGTTTTGAAAAATTTAAAAACACCGTGAATTTTCGGGCGTGAAACAAAATATTGCCTTCGAGTATTTAATGATTTAAAGCATAAAAGTAATACAATATTAATTATCTCTAAAAAATAAAATTTTCTGGTGAAAATATAATTTAATTGTTTTTTTTTAAAAAAGATTCCGAATCCCCTTAAATATTTTTTTAAAAAAAATTTATTTTTGTTATAAATATCTGAACCAGGAGGTTCCAGCAACACAAATTTCTGTAGAAAGGGCTTTTTGTGTTATCGTCACTACGAACAAAAAGGAATCTATTTATACTTGAAAATATATAGCTTATATGTTCAAATAAATATTTAAAAATGAGTTATTTTGAATCTTATATATTTTTTTTATATATAATTCATAAATGCTTATAATAAAAATAAATTAAAAGATGGTGTTGCTTCAATAAAAAAAAATTTCTAACCGTAATGAACCTTTATAATTAGCTGAACCGAACGGAACCTTTATATAAATTCCTTCTCAAGCACCGTAACCAAAACATAACTATTATAATTTTTTATATACTGAACCGTAACCAAACTGAACCGTTATAAATAACGGTTCGGGTCCCTGCTTAAATGTTGCAATAATTCGGATTTTTTGTAAATATATTTTTTAAAACAAAAAAGCCTTAACCTCATCCCTTTTCATTCATTATATTTCTTAATTTTATACTATTTACTTTTTTTTAAAATTCTCTTATTAAATCCCTTATTTTGGTTTTTTAATTATATGGTGCCAGCCGCAAAAAAAGATCCCAAATAAAACGTGGGGATTCAAGATCTTGAATCCCCACGTTGGGATTCCGAATCCCACATGATTCCCCAATACGACATATATATTATTAAATAAATCAAAAGAAACTATATTCTAAACCCTGCCTCCTTTCGATTATTCAAACATTTGAATGTTGATGCATAATGCACTAACTAATAAAAATTTTAATACTGATATATTGCCTATCATTAATGTTAAGCCCGATTTGATCGATTTTTAAAAAGACCTGAATAATATTATGTAATCATGGAGATTTTATAGATGACAGATAGGTTTTTATTTTACCAAATCTCGAGGCTTACTTATTATTTTGCTAAAATCCTAATTTGGCCATTTTTAAGAAATCGAAAGGGGTCGGCCGAAAAGTGATTGATTTGACAATGACCCTACAAAGAAGTATTAAATAATACTAAGATACCTATTTTGTTGTTAATAAGCTAAGTTACAATCAGAAATTAATAAATAAAATATATCAGAGGGCTAGATCGTATTTTAATTTTTTTATATATACCGCCGGGCTGGGCCTAAAATTATTTATAAAAAAATATCCGAACAGGGCCGGCCATATATATCAAATTAAATATTTTAAATCGCTTTTATTAGCTAAAAATCTATTATAAATATAATATATTTTAAAAAAATCCGGGCCGGGCTAGCCGTATATTGTAAATTAAATATTTGTAATACCTATTATTAGCTATAAAAATCTATTATAAATAGAACTGTATTTATATTGATATAAAATTTATAAAAATATTATTTAAAAATATCCTAAATAAAAAAATATATGTATATTATTTTAAAAATAAAATAAATTAACCAATCACAAAAGAACAATAATATATCAAAAAAAAATAACATAAAAAACATTTAAAAAAATAACAAAAAAATTCAATATAAAAAGAAGTCCGAGTCAAAAAAACGACCCAAACTCTGGGTCGGGGTCGCGACGTTTGAACAACATAATAATGAGCCCCTCCAAAAAAATAGTAACCTAACTTAATATTCTAAATAATTAATATTAAGTATAAATTATTACCTTTTTTGAAAAATATAGCCAGGTTTATATATTGAATATATTTTCTATATTTTAATTAGATTTAAAATAATAAAGAATTAGAGTAAAAAATAAAAAGATAGGTAAATTTAGCACTTAAATAAGATAAAATAGGCCATTATGAAGTAATAATTAAATCTTTATAAGCAAATATCGCAAAATTGACAGAGCTGTACCGTCATAAAAATTAAAATTTTTTTAATTTAGTTTTTATTTTTTTATATATTGAAAATAAATAAGTTATTATCCACTTTTAGCTTAAAAATATTTAAAAACTGGAGGAAAACAAAACAATTCTAGACCAACATTAAAATCCTAAAAACCCCGAAATATTTTATGTTTTTTTAAATATTAAAAAACATTACTGCCATCATAAGGAATAATTTCTTTTTAAATTTGAAAATTTAATTTAATGTAACTATATAAAAACAAAAATTTATTAAACTTGTAGCGGTAGTGGAATATTTTTTCGCAATGATTGCATTTTTTGTGTGATTTATTTGGACTATAATTATAATTTGATTTAATATTGAAACTATTATTAATCGCAGAAGAATTTAAATCCTGTTCTATTAGTGAATCCGAAAAAGGTCCAACTAAAATTATAAATATATTAAAATAAAGGTTATAATTGCATAAAATCGAAATAATATCATAAAGGTTTATGGTTATTGATTTACTTGATTTTCTC